AAATCATATACAGATAAATATATAATACAAGAAATAAACGGTTAAATCATAAAGCACGACAAATGGCTCAGTACAACTCATGTCCGTGAGAGTTGTGAGAGACTAGCAGTCCTTCAAGTCTAGTCTGCTGCCAGATCTTCCTCTCTATATAGAGAGAGCTAGGCTATGTCAGCACAGCAGCCAATCACAAGGCAGGTCACCAACTGCCAGTCCCCAGCTCCAGAGATGTCTTAAAGGCACCTCAACTTACAGCGACACAGTCCACAGGCTAGGTGTCCCACAGGTAGTGTAGCCTTTAAATTGAGGCACAGAACAAGCAAGGCAGCCACACACTGGTCTGATGATCAAAGAGCAAGAGACAAGAAAGGCGAGGCTCACCAAGCCATTTATCTCTCTGCCCTTCAGTTAATCCCACTTGTGTTTATCAGCCAGGCTGGCACAATAAACTATCTCAGGTGCATAAGCAAATGTGGTGATGGTGTCCGGCTGTTAAAAGATATAGTGTCTGGGGCCTTAAAAGCTTAAAGTTAAACAAGCAGCCATCCAATAATGAAGCAACAAGCCCACATGGAAGAAGCACACCAGCTGGTGCAATAATGAGGTGTCATTGGGACTGGGTAAGAGGCATCAGAAGATTTCTAAAAACAAACAAACAAAAACACATTGGTGAGAATGAGGGGGTCGGAGTGGAGACCCAAAGCCCATCTGTGGACAATGGAACATCCCCCCATAGAGGGGTTGCAGGGAAGGTATGAGTCAATCAGGGTACAATAGAGCACTGATGGATCACGTAATATACCTCTGATCCCTGGAGGCCTCCACATTCCCCATTATCATGACCTCAGTGTTGCTTCCCACTCTGGACTAGACGGAAGCATGTACATAGGTATAGGCCAGAGATAAAGCTCACAACACACGGTACCCAGAAACAGGAACGGGAATAGCGATACCAAAGAGATAGGGAGAAGGGGTGGGAAAGGTGGGGAGAAAGCGTGTACGGATCACAATGAATGGTATATAAGGTAGTTAGTTTATTTGTGCCAACCTGGCTGATAAACACATGTGGGGTTAATTGAAGGGCTGAGGGATAAATGGCTTGGTGAGCCTCTCCTTTCGAGTTTTCAGGTTTTTTGCTTTGTGATGGTTGGACCAGGGTGCAGCTGCCTTAGCCAGTTCCCTCCTTCAGCTGGCAAGGCTCACTTCCTGCAAGACATCCCCAAGGAGAAGCCACATGGACCTACCCCGATGCAGCCCTGGGTGCTGGAGCAACCATGTGGAGAGCCCTGCCAGTGCTGAGATGCTTACATGCTCAGTGATTCCGCTTTCCTCCTGTAGTCGGCATCATTGCATGTGCTTTGTGAGATGGAGGAGGAATTTGTGGATTGGTGTTGGACATATGGGTTAATGTTGGACTTGTGGGCTTGGGCATAACTGGGTTGGGATGTTTTCGTGATGTGCACTTACCCTTTATATAAAACTCTCTCTTATACATATGAGTTTCTGTGGATTTGTTTCTCTAAAGTACGCAGCATATAACCACACACCCCCAGCCAGGGGCAAGAACAACAGCAACCAGAGGGGAAGGGAGACAGCAGTCGGTGTGACATATGAAAATAATATCAATCTATAATCTATCAAGGGGCCATGAGGAGGAGGGGGGTAGGGAAAAAACGAGGAGCTGATCCCAAGGGCTCGGTAGAAAGTAAATGTCTAGGAAAGAGCAATGACAATATATGTACAAATATGTCAGATACAATTGATGTATGGATTGTAACAAGAATTGTAAGAGCCCCTAATACAATGATCTTAAAAGACAAAACAAAAACATGGGTTCTGGGGACAGCTGGACCTTGGTTGTAGTACAAATTCCAACACGTCGTCTAAGGAAACCTGGTGTAAATTACCTAAGCAACCCTTCAGTTATGTCAGCTGTGAATTGCTGCTGATTAAAACAATGATCAAAGCTACTTGGGGTTTTGTAGACTGATTGAAATAAATCCTGTAAACATTCTGTACAGGGCGTGGAGCACAGTCAAAAGCTCAATTGAAGTGAGAAGCTGGCATTTCACAAGGAACCGAAGAAAGTGGAGCTAGTCTTGTTTCTCTGTGTGGGTACCCACTCTACTTCATGCTCATGAAAGCACTCTCATTGTCAGGAAAACAGTCACCATAAACGTGGTCTAGGCCGATTCGTTTCCTGTACTCCAATAGGTGGCACACAAGACCACTCACTCAATGCAAAGACAAGTTACTTCCAAGGGGGGGAAAAGTTACCTCTGCAGTTTGAAGGTGAACTCTCTATGCCTCTAAATAACTCCCCCCCACCTCTAAATAACTTTTAAATAGACCTTGACTAAATCAGAAGACTGGAACAAGTATATTTTAAATTAAAAGCACTGCCAGTAACCTTAGCATTACAAAAGCGATTTTGACTGAATTTCAGCACGGGGTCCTGCTCCACGCTCAGTTTCCATTTGCTCCTCTGCATACAGAGGCTCCACTAAGGGTTACCAAGATCATGAGAGAATCGCCACTGGGGGGCTCCACGATTGTGGGGTGATGTATTATTTAAGTGCCGTCTAGAAGCTCCATATGCATTATTTAGAACATCGATTATCAAGCAGTGGGGAGGACATAGTAGAGGTGTTTAGTGGGTGAGCTGCTACTTTAGAACCCAAAGACAACGAAGTCAGGGCAGTATTTCTTCGTTATTTCAAGCCACAGGGAAAATCAAGCATGAGTCTTCTAGTCATTCTGCTCCTACGTGTACCAAAATCGAGGGATGGTAGAAGGAGTCGGAATCAATATGACAAAGAGAATCAGAAAGAAGACTCAGTCCACGCTAATCATTTATTCATATGCTGAAAATTCTCTGATGCTATATCTTAAAGCAAAATCTGGCTTTTCCTCATTTTAACATGAGCCTGGAATGAGCACCATGGGGGCCCAGCTTGTAGCATGCAGTTGTGCTTCCTCAGTGGAACAAACTCCGATCTCTGGAAAAAGATGTCAGGGTGCCTTGTTTCCTGATCTCAAATGCCCCTGAAAGCTGGCTGGCCTTCTTGTAAGGGCCACCTTTAGGACACAGGTTAAGCATCTGCAAACACTGGCCACACGGGAACAAGTCTAACTGTGGGGTCTAAGGCCAGTTAGAAAGCACATGTGTTACCTGACCAAACTAGGAGCTAAATTGCTCACACACACACCATATAATAATTCTGTAAAGAGTTCACGTGACCTTTCAAATTCTCCTTCCACTTGAAAGCAATTTGCTCTCTGTGCTAATCTGAGTATGCACTTGCACAGCAATGTACTTTATGGAGGAGAGCAGGCTAGCCGAGGGTTGGTTTATCAATACAAACAGATTTTGTTTTTCTTTAAAAATATTTATGGAAATATAGGTTATTAAATCTGCACATATTGAAAGTGTCTAATTCGATAGGTGTTAAAATATGTGAATTATAGCTGTGAAACTAACACCACAATCAAAGGTCATGAACATATGAGATTTAGGTTCAAGTGGCCAGAGTTACCCAAAGTGGGTGATCCGGTCCCCTGGGGGGTACTGAAAAAGCAGATACGTACACTTTATCTTGGATTATGGTATTAAGTGTGAGCGTCTTTAATTGCCAGGAGGCCCTGAGTAATTTTTTTCCCTGAAAAGTGGGACAGGAAGCCAAATAAGTTTGGGGACCCATAATATTGAGTTATTGTGAACTCACTATCCATGTGAGTGTCAAGGTATATATGCATCTGTATGTTTTGACAGTTTAATCTATTTTTCATTTATAAAGCCAATTATGATATTATCAGTTGATTAGAAAATCTGGGGAAGACAGCAACAACACAAAAGCAGAACCCAAACCCAAATCCCTAACTACCAAAGAACAGTGTTTTAAGGAAAACAGTTCTGCCAATTCCCAGAGAAGCTTACTTATTTTCCTAACCTCATACACTGTACCTTAATGAATGCCCTGGGAATTTGTCTTAAGCCCATGATAAAGCACTCTTAAGACCTGCAGGAGAAATCCTGTAACTTGCCCTGAATTTAATTCGCAGGCAACCTGACCTCTCCTTTAACTCCTTCTCGTCTGTATTTTCTGGCCTTAATGACATCTCTGGTTTTATCCTGGGAGGCAGAAAGTTGCCGCCACAGGGAAAAGTGAAAGTCTATGATGTCATTGCTAACAAGCTGCATGAAAGCTGTGAAGCAGAATGCACACGCACACCATAAAATGTTAACTATTCAATTAAATCCATCCAACGAAAGAAATAAACGTTGCCTAAAGGTCTCACACCATAGGAAAAGCTCTTTAGGTCCACCCACCAGAACGCCTGGCGTCGGCTTTCCGTTCACCCCTTCCCTAGTGCAGACACGGCACGCCTCGGCACTTTCTAAAAAGGTTTTCACGCCATGGCTAAATGAGAGTCAATCTGAAAGAGTCACGTTCGAGCCTTCCACTTTTTAATCACGACCACACGCGACCTTAAGCGAGAAGGGCTGACATTTGTCATCAACTTGAAAATATCGGCGGTGGGGCCTGGACCTCCATTTGATGTAAATATTCATTAGGGTCAAGAAAATAATTCTTGAAACTTCAGTGAATGTCTTAAACATCAGGTGTCTGTGCTTGTTTATGTGTGCAGGTATAAATGTGTTTTAGGAGGAAACTCAGGAAGGCAATGATGGAGATGTGAAAAGATCAAACAGTAACATTACACAGTCTCATTTGATAGTTCAATGGAAAACTGTAAGTTTTCATTTGTACTTTCATTAAAAAAAGGTATTGGGTTAATAATTTGTCAGGGTTCTCAACCAGGAAGTTGCTCAACATACACCGAAGAAGAAGAATATGGTGCACATTTTGTAAAATGAGAGAGAAATAAAATGAGAATATAGTTGAGCAGAAGAGACTTAATAGATAATCTGACTTTGTGGCTTACAGTCAGCAAAAGATTGGCATTCACTAAAATACTGAAGGAAGTTCAAAATCACATACCTCTAATATCTGGTCACCCGCCCAAAGTCTCCCATCCCGGGCTGCTGCTCCTTCTTCGTAGACTTCATGTATAACGATGGCGTCCTAGACAAAACAAAGGCATCCAAATCTTCAACAAGCACAGTATTTCTTTGAACAGATAGCCGAGCAACAGGTAGCAAAAAGTCATTGCAATTTGTTAAGAATCTTATATCAGACATATGGAAACATATGATACACAGCTACGATCTGTCAGAGCTACAATGAATCTTTACTGTTATTCCATCCCTGTGGAACTGGCTCTGCCCAATATTTCACGTGAAACTTCCTTCACAGGTTTCACAGCAGTCCTGAGTGCTGCTGCTGTCAATGAACTCGAAACGAACCATGTGTCATTCTTACTTACATTTTATGGCATAGTTTGAAACATGGTTTCAAGTATTTATTGGTAGTCAAGGATTTGGCATAGATGTGTGGCAAGATGAAAGGTTGTTTTGTTTTGTTTTTAAACTTGGGCAATGAAAGACAAGAACTTAATGGAATCAACTGGTTTTAGGGGGCAGAGCCTAGCATAGAGCAAATGGCCATTTGTTCGAACCCCAATTTTGCCAGTGTTTGTTCCTGGGGAAGTAAATCCCTCTGAACTCAGCACTGTGTGCCGCTCCATCAAGACAACAATATCACATTTCTAATACAGGTGACTATCATTGGAGGCAATGAATAGAGAAAAACAATCAAGTAGTTTGTTATCTCTTTAAATGAATAACCTTAAAACGGTATCCTCGTAAAAAGCATGTACTAGAGTGCACCCAAAATGCCTGTCTCCCTCCCAGACTCGCAACCATCATCTTGTTTCCAAGAACCCGCCCGGGAGTTTTATATTTACAAACCTAAATGTTTTACAGAGTTAAGATTATTACATAGGTAAGAGTATTTTTTAAAGGTTAAGCGTTTTGTCCACACTATTTTCGCCTCTTCTCTCTCATGTGGATCTTGGTAGTCAAGCTTTGAAATTGCTTGCCTCAAAAGATGAGGCACAAAGAGTGATAGTCTCAGAGTTATAGTCTCAGAAGCCCACGGGAGCAATTCTACGGTCCAGGAGGGTCGCTATGAGTCAGCATCGCCGGCAGGTGGAGTAGTGAAAAAACGGAAGCAACCAACACCTGTGGGATATAAAGAGGCTTCTCCCTAGCTTGTCTCCCCCAATATATGTCAGACCTGGGACACTGCTTGCAACTCAGGGTAAATGAGTGTCAAGTTATCTCCCTGAAGGCATCAGCCATCCAGAGCAAGCAGACCCTATTGTCTGTCCGCCATAGGTGGGGCTCACCCCCTGCCGTTAAGGACAGTGGATTACTTTCCTGATGGAGAGCTGAGAACAGGTCAAACCAACACAGTGACACCCAAGGTTAGCTGCCATCCTGAAGCTAGGATCCTCCCATCTTGTCACATGTGTACCCCTAATCCCTCCTCTTCCTATTGTGTTTACCTCTAGATCGCCCCCCCACCCCTCATTGCTGTATTGCCTCTGGTACACCCCTTCCTGTGACATTACCTGTAATCAGGGGGCTTACACACCCCCAAGTATATAAGCCTTGTTTAGAAATAAAGCTCTCTCTCCTGCGGTCCTCCTTCCCTCTCCCTCCTTCCCCACTCCCTCTCTCTCCTGCCGTCGCCTTCTCCCGCATCCCCACGTGGACCACCAAGCAGGGCTGAGGTGAGCATGCTACCATGAGATGCGTCTGACTCTTTATGTTACTCTCTCTCCTAGCTTCTATGACTTTACTATGATCTTTATATATCATAACCATACAATTGCACCTACTGAACCCGTCATAGTGTTAGGGGCTGGTCTCCTCTCACACCAACACCGAATGGCTCACTCTCTTCTTTATAAAGCTGAAGGACACGGAAAGACTTAGATGGAATGGGTCTCGTAGGCATGCTGCAGGGCTGCTAGGAATGGATACGAGATTTTCAGTGAAGATGGGAAACAGATACCGTGGGTTGCACAGAGGTAAAAGATTTCAGCCCTAAATGGTCCGGCTTTCTTTCACCCCAAATCAAATAAATACATGCATGCCACGCATGCACACGCAAACCAGTCTGTTGATTCCACTTCTTGATAACACCACGTGTTGCAGAAAGAAATGCACGCATGGCATTTTTTTACCCATTCAGAAGCACATCACCAGGCCTTTCTTCTGAGGTACCACCGAGAGGGTTGGCAGCGGAGTTTGGGCTGAGTAGGTGAGTTGGTTTTGATTAGTGGGCTTAAGCTTCTGCATCACAGAGGGGCTTCGCTCCCTTCCTAGCACCATCTTCATAAACAAACACACAGCTTGCAACACAAGGCAGGCAATGGCCCAGAGGTGAGGGCTCTAGGCAGGGTGGATGTCCAGCTTCAAAGAAGTCTGTGTCCCAAGCATTGGAACTTTGCATTTGAAGAGACTGTGCTGGCTCGGCAAGGATGTGCTCAGTGGTGGTCAGGGTGGGTGGATGGCAAAGACCACCTGGGTCTTCGCAGTGTCTTGGTTTTTTGTTAAGAAACCAGAGCTCCAGGAGTTAAATGAGCCACAGCATGACTAGAACTGGACTATTTCTTAATCCAGAAGAAGAGTTAGAATTCGGTTGCCATTAAGTGCACAAAGAAATGAAACATTTCTTAAAAATATGTAAACCGCCCCCCAAAAACCATACAACCACCAAACCAAACTGGTTTCCTTGGGTGAGCTGGGGTGGGAGGGGTTCCTATGCAAACTCCAGTGTAGACAATCAACAACAACAAAAAAGGGAGACCTTTAACCAAATAAGCCACCTCGATTCCAAATGCCTTTCAATAGTAAGTTCTTCTATCACCACACAGCTCTGAAAACATAGTGTATGATGGCAATTGGAAAAGCAGCTCCGGAGAGCTAGAAAAGCTCCTTGATCCAGGTAATTTCCATTTCAGATCCTGGCCCGGCTATGGATTTTGGATGCTTCTTTGTGTAACTCTGACTTATGAAATTTCCAGGCCCAGGGAGTATTTACACTGCTAAGACTGCTTCTCGGAACTGTTTCAGGGGAGTGATTTTTCAGGAAACGTGATGGGTCAGTGGCTTGAAGTGATCCTAACAACACTCCTGAGAGCCCACTGAGGACTGTTCATGTTAAGGTCTGCAGGTAGCAATTAATGCAGACTCCTGGTATCGCTGGGGTTTGACGTTTTTCAAAACTTGGTCCCCAAACACCTCATCTTCACTGGACTGGCTCTGAATCTTGGGACATATAAAAATTAAACTGGTAATCTCTATTGCATCTGTTTAAAGGAATACCCCAGGGTGGTTTTTTTTTTTAAACCTCATAAAAGTGGTTCGTATCTGCAATGCAATGAATCACTTAATATGGCTTTTGTAGCCTTAGCCTTCATTATTCCCATTGCTTTTCTGATGGGTCTGGGTGAAGAGGTGGGGGAGGACACTGATTGAGTTATATGATTTGGCTGTAAGTGATGACTGGGTTAATTGCATTTGCCATCCTGATGGGTAAAATGAGTCATTGCAGAAGCAGGAAGGGGGCACTACCTCACCATCAGAAATAGAGAAGAGCCAAGAGTGGAGCATATCCTGTGGACCCCAAGATACCTGGAGGAGACAGCTCTGACACCAGAGGAGTGACAGAGGGGCAGCAGCAGCAGCAGCAGGACCAGGAGCCAGAACATGAGACAGAGTGGTGGACATTCCAGCCCACAGAGCGTGTAAAACTAAGCGCTTTAGTGTAGGAGGCTGGCTTGTGAGGTGGGGTGCCTCTGGGCACGTAATTGGGGAAGCTGGGCTTGCTGGCCCACCGAACTGGAGCTGAGTGCTTTTGGAGTGGCATGCCCTTTAGGAATTTATTAGCATCCTTGAAAGACCTTTGTAATATTGACCAAGCAGGACAGAGACCAAGCCAAGAGGCTGAGGGCCAGAGAGAGGCCTGCCTACGGACACAGCAGAGAAGAAACTGTCCTGATTGAACAACGGTATCAGGAGAATTTCTGACCTGAATTGTAACCTAGTCACTTCCCTAATAAACTCCGTGGTCATGATATTGTCAGTGGTCATTGCCATGAGTTATGGAACCCAGTCACAGAAGCAGAGTGGCCCAGGGGAACTCAGAAGTTGGTATCAGAAGAGGGTTCGAGAAGGATGGAGAGCGAAGGCATGTCTGACCTCTGCTTCCTAGCAATCAGCTTTGTGGTCCCTACACTGTTTGTCCTTAATCCAAAACCCCGAGATGCTTTTTGGATCCTCAATAAAGTATTGGTACATAAAGGAATATATCACTAAAAATATTACATTTTTAATTCAGTGCCAATGATATATTTTTGATCCACGTGTCTTATTGGATGAAAAATTCATTTATTTCTTTCCTTTTTTTTTTTTTTTTGCCTAACTGCTGTTGTTCTTGTCTGCCAGTACCAACAACTTCTAAAACTCTTCTATCTACCAAGTGATCTGTCCATCCTTTCCTTGTGGAGGGGCTGCTGTCTTACTGTGAGGAGATAAAGGAATAAGAGTGAGGCCTCTGAGACCGAACTTCCTTGAGCCAAATCCTGTCTATGATACTGCTGATCATAGGACTTGGGAAGATCTTTGATCTTCTTAACATGATTGAAATCATATTACCTACATACAAGGCTGATGTACTGTACCAACACACAGTAAGGGAGCAATAAACTATAGTTTTCATAACGCATCTAGGCTCATTTACTTAACAACTACGTGCCAAAGATGCTGCAGGCTTCCAATTTATGCCTTATAATTATCCTGACCACTCAGTACTCATTCACTATTTACAAACTCAATCCCATTTACAAACAGGCTCAGAAAGGTTCAGACCTGACCAAGTCTTGGTACCTTCCAAGTAGGAAAGATAGCATTGAAACTCGGGATGGTTCAGCCCCATAGCCAGAGCGCTGTTTTGAAGTCTTTCTTCTGTTCTGAATAGTTTATTTCTCCCTTGTGCAAAAGCTGGTTTGGGATTTTCCATATGGCCTCAGCTTTGTTAAGATATTGTCTCAACTCCACAGTAAAACCCTTGAGGCACGAGCTGATCGTTTAATGCGGGGGGGAACAGAAAGA